CCCCCCCCCCTCCCGAAAATATCTGCGGTCAATGCATGCCTACGAGTAGACTCAGCCACACCCCGATCCCCGCCCCCCCCCCTCGGAATATTCTGGCCCGGCCCGCTAAGGTTGAGGATTTGGGCCAAAGCGGCAACCCGGATGAGAAGGACCTGGACCGCTACTTAAAAGCGCACGACGACTTGCAGACGGTGCTACGCGTTTACGAAGGCGTTGTTGACGGCAGCGAGACCTTGCCCCTCTCCCGCAGGGGCGGCGGCGGTGGCACTAGAGGAACCGGCGAGGCGACGGCTGCCGCGGAGGCCGTGTTTGCCGCCACCGCCGCCGCCGCCAAAAGCAATGGCACCGCCTACAGCGGCGACGACAATGCGGTCGAGGACGGCGGGGCCGCAAAGAATGGTGCGGCGGGGGCGGGGGCGGCGGCGGCCGCGGCTACGGCCAGCGGAGGCAGGAGTAGTCCCGCACGGGGAAACCTGTTGGACCTCGAGGAGAACACTCCGCTAGATACGTCTATGACCGGAGAAGGCGCCGGGGGGATGATGGTCGCGTACACCGATGGGCAGTTCATGGCCAGTACCTCGAACAGCGTCGGGGGCGTGAGCGGTGTTGGTGGCGTGGGCTTCGATAGCTTGTCCGGCGCTGGACAGGGGAGCGCGACCGCCAGCAACTATGCGAGCGCCAGCGACACCGGAGCGGTGTACGGCAGCAACCAGTTCGGGAGCAACAACAATAGTAGTAGTAATAACCTCGGGAGCATCAACTTCGGCAGCGGCGGGGGTGGCGGAGACTTCTCGTCTGGCTTCGGTGAGCGAGAGATTCTAACGGCGATTTGAGGCGTAGCCGGAGGATGGGATTTGACGTGCGGTTGTACCGAGGTTCACGAAAGGAAAAGTGGTGTTGGACTGGCAACTGTGCGTGCTGGCGTAGAGTTGAGAGTGGGTATCGGCGAAGAGAGAGGCTTAGCATTTGAGTTTTTGAGCATCCTATCGTTCTCTCGTCCCAAGATGTGGTAATGTTACGGCAGTTGGCACGCGAGGGCATGCGCTCTTACGCCGTGTTGAATATCCATTCGAACGATGTAGACATGTATCCGTCCGTGTAAAGTTAAGTCAAAATCAGGACAAGTGTGTGACCATCGGTGAGTTGCCTTGCAACTAACGTGGCGTCTCACCTCAACGGCACGAGGACGGTCGCTCCCTTACTTAACGGTAAATGTTTGCTATCGTGGTCGCTGTCGCTGCGCTACCTCCCCTTTCCGCCACGATCCCCACCCCCCAAATCTTGTGCACGTGTATCCCCGTCCGCCAATTGTTCTCGTAGCCCCGAGGGACCCATTCGCGGCGGCGTTCGGGGGAAGCGCGCCCAGCGCAGCGGCGCCGGATGTCCCCCCGGGCGCGCCAGATGAGCCCGCCCCGCGCCCGCTGCCGGCGTTTTTCCCCGGAGGCATTCCCGGGAACCAGTCGTCGTCGATCGTCTCGGTGACGTCATCAAGCGCCACGAACCGGAACCAAGGCGTGCTGGGGGTCGCTCAGCAGCGGCAGTCCCTGTCCACGGACTTCGGGTCTTGGATGTCGTCCAGGGGCGGGCCGGGCGGGCCGGGGGACCCTTTCGCACCGTCCCGTCCCTCCGCGGGGTTCGCGAACGGGCTCCTGGGAGGTCCCGGGCGCCACAAGCTGTACTCTCTCCACGAGTCGCCGTCTCTTGCTTCAAGCAACGGTGGCGGCGTCGGCAACTATGGCAGCGTGATGGCCCCCAGCCCGTCACTCTCTGGCAGCGTCGGCGGCGGCGCGGGCGGGGGAGGCGGGGCCTCCAACCCTTTCGAGATGACCTCGGGGGTTGCTGCGCCCGCTGCGAGGGCCGAAACTTCGGATCCGCTCTCGGCTGGAGCGAACGGCACCGGAGGCGGGGTTCTCGCTGTCGGGGCAGCAGGAGGGTTAATTCCTCCACAGCAGCAGCAGCTGGGGATGTTGCCTTCGTCGACGACGTTTGCTTCGGGGAGTAGCGGCACCAATCGTAACCGGTCATTCTCCGAGTACTCTGCTACCAGCAGCCAGGGCCCCCAGCAGCCGCAACATCAGCAGCAGCAGACGTTGCAGCAGCCATTCCCGTCCCCGGCGGGTCAGGCCGCTCTTCCGCCACAACAGCAACAACTTCGACAGCAATCTCAACAACAACAGCAACAGCAAGGTTCGATGTGGTGGCAGCCCCAGCCACAGGGACAGCCCCTCCAGGGGCAGGCCCAACAAGGCTCCCAGCAACAGCCGCCGCCGCCGCAGCAGCAGCAGCAGCAAGCTGCTGACCCGTTTGCGGGGGGCATGGGACTGGTAGCCAGGGATCCATTCGCGCAGGCGCAAGCTCCAGCGGGTCAGGCCCCGAGAGTGAACAACCAGCTGGGGGGCGCGGCGGGCTCAGGTAGCTTCGACCCCGGCACAAGTCGAACACTGGCGGGCGGCGACTCGTCGGCGGCGTTCGGTCAGGCTTTATTCGCGACAGGGACTGGCGGAGAGAGCAAGTACAATCCGTTCGACGACCCCCCCGCTACTACGATGTTTGGAGGAGCGCAACAGCCACCGCCGCAGCAGCAGCAGCAGCAGCCACTACAGCGGCCGCGACAGCAAGGACAACAGCAGTTCCCTCAACAGCAGCTGCCGGTGCAACAGCAGCAGCAGCAGCAGCAGCAGCAGCAGCAGTTGCAGCAAGTTCCGCAACCGCCGTTCCAGCAAGCCCCCCAGCTGCAGGGCTACGGAGAACTGCAGCAACAGCCCCAGCAACTGCCGCAACAGCAACCGAGCAACGGGACTACACAACACTTCGTATAAATAGTACCATCATGTCGAAGTAGAAATGATGGTGTTTTTATGACGTTTTCATCCAGCCTCTTGCATACTTCGGACCTGTCGTATGTCTGGGGCCTAAGAGTCGCAGGGAAAGTTCCCAGAACGTGGTAAGGTCGTTTTGGAATATGTTCTGTGATACGCCTCTCTGCTGAAGGCGGTTAAATAGTCCTTTGGGGGACCGGGGTTGCTCATACCCTTTCTCCCACCTCCATGGTCGGGTCTCCTAGTTAGTTTATTTTAGTGTTTTGTGGAAAGGCGTTCGACTTTGATGTTGTCGACACTTTTTTCTGTCCGCGTGTGCGTTCATGGGCCGATGATGGCGATTGTGAGTCCGGAGCGGGGTAGCTCGTCAAAGGCATGGTTACACCTTTGTGTTCATGCTTCATGTTGCCGGGAAGGACTGTTGTTTCTCCGTTCATCTGGGTGTCTTTACGGTCGCGCGTGAATCATGCCTGCACGCACACGGGTAGAAGAGACGGAAGGATATTCCTTCCCCGTTCTTGCTGTAGTGCCCTTGTGTGTTTTGGACGAAGTAGTCATGCGGCCAAAAATCCGTCTTTTCATGACGTCTGTACATACGTACAGTAGCCACCAGACCAGGGTCAAGAAAATCTCACGCACCAGCAGAAGAAAATGAAAGCTATTTTGCCATACCATATCCCAGGCTGCACGCACACTCGTGTGCATTTAGGCGTCGGAAAGCTTACCTCGGGCGGATAGGAGGGGTGTTGGCTGCTTTCCGGACAGTTTGTGGGTTTTAAATGTAGGTTCTCTTCGGTAAATATTGCTGTAGGTGACACGAGTATTTGCTGTCGCAGCACCCGGGGTGTAACCTTGCGTTCCCTGGTCCGAGTTGCTCGAGACAGCATGGGGTTTGACTGCATGCCGGGAAGGCCGGTTTTGGAAGAGAAAGAAGCTCGACCGACAAACCAGGATGTACATCATCTGGGGTCCAAGTTGTCATTTTTCCTTGGTTCGATGGATGTCCCGAGTGTTGGAGCAGTCAGGGATGGACAGGGGGTGAAATCAACGCATTAGGAGCCTCGCGTTCTCTTATCGGCCCAACCGCTCCGATGCTTCCAGAGCCTGTCCAGTCGCAAGGGAGGAGCGTGATTGGCTTCCGAGTAGAGGCTGGTCTCGGAGGGGGGGTACTTTCCCGAAGTGTACATTTAACGTGCGGTTAGAGGATGATGGTGTCGCAAGCGCGACACCGAGGCCGGGTTGGTGTGTACCCTGAAAAATGAAAAGAGGGTTGGTTTGTTTGTTGTGGCGTCTCTTGTATGTCGTGTTGGGTACTCTTTTGTATTTGTGGTTGGTTTGCCCTTGGTGAGCCGTGGATGAAGCCACGCGGACATGACGAAAACGTACACGGCCTGCCTTTGTTGTCTGGACTACGAGGTATTTCTATTCATTGCCTATGTTTTTTCATTTTCTAGGCTGTTGTGTTGGAGGTTGGACGTAGGACAAAGAAGGGGGGGGTAAGGAGCGCATGAGTCCGGGCGGAGCACATAAATTTTAGCGCTGGCCGAGTCGTTGGTTTCTGCCATGATGCAGCGATTTGATTATGCCTCGCGTGCAAGAACAAGACGGGGGCGTGTTTCGTGTTATTTGTAACCGATCCAGCCTACTGTGAGTTGTAGCGTGTCACGTCCAAACCAACGGCTCTTGTACAGCAGTCAAGTCGAGAGATGAGCGAAATCAAGAAGTGCACCAAATACGGAGGAAGCAGACCACCAGTCAGTCAGTCGGTCAGTCAGTTGACCAACGGCAAGGCTACCGTCTCACGAAACCCCAGTACCGTAGGTTGCATAAGATATCACACCCCCTGGACTGATTGTCGAAGCTCGATTTCTCCCCGATCGACGAACAGAGGATGCCGAAATTAAAGCGTTGTGCGTTTTCGGAAAGCTCTCGACGAGACGGTTCCAACGCCGCCGTATTCGGCACCGTTCCTGCTTTTCCTGCAGAGATATCGAGCTTCGAAATCAGTCCAGGGGGTGTGATATCTTATGCAACTTATGGTAGTGTCGGTCACCCTCTGTGAAATGGATGCTTTCCCGGCAAGGCGTCCCTACAGCATTAAGGAGTTCGTACAAAACGGTTCTTCCCCCTAAGCCTCGCCTCGGGCGGGCTTCTCGTTTTTCACGACAGTGCCATACGCCGCTTTTTTTGTTCGCTCACCACTATTCCCACGAAGTAAAAACCCTTGTCCCCGGGCATCACACACACTTCCAACTCCCCACCCACATGAAATGTCTTTCTCTGATTCTTTTCACGTGTTGAACGTTCAAGCGACATTCGGTTGCCGCCCACCCACGTAACCAACGCTTAGTAGATGCTAAGTAGCCGGCAGCTCCAACCTCTACATGTAGAGGAGGGAATAAACAACAAGTGGTGGGGACCTGCTTGCCCAGCCGCTGTGGCAAAAAACGGAGATTATTACAGTTGAGGCCTGGGGCTAACCCCTCGGGCTATTATTGTCAGCTTTATTCGGGTGCCAATGCACAGTTTCGAACTGGGGCTCCAAATTTTTCGGTTTAAATGGAAGCAGATTTTGAGATAAGAAATTTTCCTGGAAACTTCGTGCAGGTGATATTTTTCAGATTGAAGCGGCTTCATGTGATTGGCTGTGGGTTAACAGTCCTCCCATGAACTTCCCCTGTCCGCAGGTGCTGTTGTTTTTTCGTGGTGCGCTGCGTGCCAGCTACATACAGAGTTGGGGCTCGCACTTAAGAATATGGCACTTTAGAATATGGTGCTAAAAAAAACAAGATATATCATTTGCCGGCAAGAACACGTGCTCAGATTGCACCTGCAGTTAAGAATAAGAACGCACGCCTGAGGTGTACCACTGCTGCTAAATATAAGAACAAGAGCACATTCAGCAGCTGCGAGATAGAACATTCGAAGGGGGAGGGGGGGACGGGCGGGGGGGTGATCCAAGTATTGGATTTGGCAGGGGGGTAGGTGTGCCGAAGGTGGGTGCATACATACTTAGACCACTGCTGTTTATGGCAAACAAATACTTTTTAATCTTGATCTTGATTCTTCAAAACCTTGGCAAGATAAACGCGACCCCCCCCAAAGATCAAGATTACTGCATGTACGTGTTTATGGAAAACTGCATCTTGATCTTACTTGGGGGTTGTGGACACCTCGATAGACAAAATCAGCGAGTGCGACCTGAGTTCTTGACGTATCGCTCCCATCAAGGGCTCCGACGAACGAACCCTATGGTGAAGGGTTTGCTGTTCCACACGTTGATTGTTGGTTGTCGGTCGGGACACGAGCGTAAAAAAAATCATTTCGCATCACACCAAACGTGGAGACTCCCAAACGTCACGAGAGGGCAAAAAAGCCGAAAAAAAGCCGCGTTCTGACAGAGGCGCGACAACAGCGCAATTGATTTCTCGCTCCCTAGCCCACCGATTGACGCCAAACCGGTCAGGGTGTGCTCTCCGTTCCTTGTTCTCTCTCGAAGTGGCGTGGCTCAGGAGCTCGCAAGCTCAATCGATGGAGAGAATTGTGCGTGGCGTCACTTTGCTTTTTCGAACTGATTTTTTCGCCCTTGTTATTCACTTGCGAATAGAATGACTTGTTGAACACCTGAAAACGTTTTTCAACGGATAGCGTGCGCACACGCAGACAACGATTTCCGTCGATTGAGCTTGCGAGCTCCTGAGCCACGCCACTCCGAGAGAGAACAAGGAACGGAGAGCACACCCTGACCGGTTTGGCGTCAATCTGTGGCCTAGGGAGCGAGAAATCAATTGCGCTGTTGTCGCGCCTCTGTCAGAACGCGGGCTTTTTTCGGCTTTGTTGCCCTCTCGTGACGTTTGGGAGTAGCTGTTCGTGAGCCCTAGCCCTGTTAAGGGTCGGCGGACTTGGGGCTGCTGTTTAACTGTGTGTATTAGCTCGCATGAGAGAGGAGAGAGGGAGAAGGAGGAGAGGCCCCAATTCTCGAGAGAACACGGGGACTCCGCACTATCATCCAAAGCCTCTCAGCACATACCCTTCAAGTTGTCCCAGCTGCGTCCTACGTAACGGCTACTTTTCGACTATCTACTTCTACGCACGAACACCCTCCCTGGTTCTTTACGCCAGTGAAGAACCTCTAGTGCGTCGAAAATACGTCCGAAAAACCGAAACACAACGACAAACCAAAAGTAAAGGGGAAACCCGGCCACCGGATCAAAACCCCTCAGAAATTCAACGCCTCACGCCGATCATATCACGAAAGATTCCAACGGCTCAAACAAAATCCAATAGCCGTCCATATCACCAATGATTCCAACGGCCGTACTGCAAGAAGACAAAGATAAAACCACTCCAGACGCTCGGATTACAAATTCTAGGCAACGCTCTACTACCTCGAGCAACGCCTCTGACAAATCCTTCCGACATGATGGAACGAACTCCTTGCTGTGCAGCACCAACTGATTCTTCAGGTGTCACACACATACAGGCAACGCCCTCCCTGTCTATCTGCATTCCACACGAAAACTGCATCGAACAGGTACGTTCTCCCTGCCTTCGGTTCAACCATCTGCAATCCTACACGAACTCAAAATCATGACCTGTTTCCAACTGAAAAACCAATCAAACTCGATTCTCCAAAGGATGCCCGCTTTTGAGAAATATACAACCTGCCGAATGTAGCCTGCTTCAAACAAGGTCCACCATCTGCAAACTACCAAATCAATCCTCAGTTCTCCTTCAATCAAGGATACATCAACTTGCTACTGAACCTTCAAGCACAACTACGCAAAACACAAACGCCCCCCCACAACTTGGTAACGCTGTACTACGAACCCCAAGCATCTACGCTGTCTGCATTATAGACAAGCACACCAGGAACCTAAGCCTAGTGCCCTCCCTTGCGCAACACCGGCGCCCAGAGGAACACGCACATGGCCATCACCTAGATGTCGCTTCCCAAAACAGACACAACCAACATGCTTCCGTACGTGAAAACAAAATCGACTTCCACTAACAACTGCATACCTGCCCGACACACCAACCTGTCAAGTTGCATAATACCAAGACCGGGCGTACTCTTCAAGCGTAACATTCTCAAAAGAAACACGCCCGTTTCCACCCTCCCTTGTTCTGCAACAACTCAGGTAAACAAAACACTTGTTGCGCCTCCTACTTAGGCCGTGGGTCACATATAACCGCGTAGCCCCCACACATGAGTGATGGTGACAAATTCTACCAACGTGAACGTCTCTACCCCCCGACACTTTGGTTGCCGTGGCCGAGTTCGACAAGGACCCCAAGGTGACGGCGGACATGGTCAAGATCGGGACACAAGTGGAGTACACGGGCAAGAAGGGCAGGTCGGCGGGGAGGAAGACGACGGTGGTGACGGACGCGGAGGCCTTGTGGGCCATGCTCTACGCTGACGACGCGGCCATCGTCTCGCGCTCGCCGGAGAGTCTCGAGAAGATGATGTCGGTCATCGTGCGCGTGGCCGGCCTGTTCGGACTGATGGTATCGGAGCCAAAGACGGAGATCATGTGCATGCTGCCAAAAGGGATCGAGGAACGCCCGTTCACGGTCAGCGCCGCCGGCCAGACGTACAAGCAGACAGATCGGTTTGTGTACCTCGGACGTACCATCTCCGCGGACGGGAAGGCCGACCGGGAGATCACGAGCCGCAGCTGCCGAGCGTGGAAGTGCTACCGCCGGAACAGTGCTTCGATGTGCGACAGGCGACGGGCCAACCGCCAGCTCAAGATCCGGCTTCTACACGCTGAAGTGGTGGAGACTTTCCTGTATGGGTGCGCCTCGTGGAGCCTAACAGCGGAGCACTACACGAAGCTCAATGGGACCCACCGCCAGTT